GGGAGCCTGACGTGGGATTCGATCCCAGGTCTCCAGGATCGCGCCCTGGGCCAAAGGCAGGCGCCAAACCGCTGTGCCACCCAGGGATCCCTGAAGATATATTTTATATCACAATCCAGTTCATATACAAACTGAAACAAAAGTTTCCCAATAATATATGTAGCCAGTTACAACCCATTGTATTGCTTTCATGACATGATCACAATCTTGATTCATTTTCCAGTTTATGAAGTCATTTACACATAATAAAATTTACCCTTTTGAGGTATACAATTACATAAATTTTGTAACCTTTATAACAGTCATTTGACTACCGCCACATTGAGAGATAGACTATATCTATCACTCCAAAATATTCCCTCTTGCCTCTTTGTACTCAGTCTCTTCCCCAGTCCAGGCCTGAGCAATCACATATCTGATTTCTGTCTCTACAATTTTGCCTTTTTCAAAATGTTCTATAAATAGGATCACTTGCCGGGATGCCTGGGTGGCTCAGCAGTTGACCATCTGCCTTTGGCTCAGGGCATGATCCCATGGTCCCGGGATTGAGTCCTACATCGGGATCCTCATGGGGAGCCTGCTTCTCCCTTTCTCCCTCTGCCTATGTCTCTGCCTCTCTCTCTCTCTCTCTCTCTCTCTCTTTCATCTTAAAAAAAGATTTTATTTATTTATTCTTATTTATTTATTCATGAGATACAGACAGAGAGAGGTAGAGACATAGCAGGGGAGAAGCAGGCTCCCTGTGAGGAGCCTGATGTGGGACTTGATCCTGGAACCCTGGGATCACACCCTGAGCCGAAGGCAGACGCTCAACCACTGGGCCACCAAGGCGTCCCAAAAATAAAATCTTAAAAAAAAAAAAAAAGGATCACCTGCCATGTAACCTTTTGAGGCCAGCTTTCTTTTACTTCACATAATGCTTTTGAAATTCTTCTGTTGTGGTATAAGTCAGTAGCTCGTCCCTTAGTATTCCTGAGTCATTCCCTTGTATGGTTGTACCACAGTTTGTTTACCATTTACATTTCAGTTGTTTCCAGGTTTGGGCAATCATGAATAAGGCTGCTATAAATACTCAGGTACACATTTTTGCATGGATGTATGTCTTCATTTCTATGGGTTCATAACTAGGAGTAGGATTGCTGGGTCATGTGGAAACCAAATGCCAAACTGCTTTCTACAGTGATTGTACCACTTTGCATTCTCACCAGCAATGCATGAGAGTTTCCATTGCTCTGTGTAGTCAGCAGCATTTGGTGCTATCGGATTTTTTTATTGGAGCCATTTTAATAGGCATCTAATGGTCTCTAATTGTAGTTTTTTTTTTTAAATTTTTATTTATTTTATGATAGTCACACACACACAGAGAGAGAGAGAGAGAGAGAGAGAGAGAGAGAAGCAGAGACAGAGGCAGAGGGAGAAGCAGGCTCCGGGAGCCCGACGTGGGATTCGATCCCGGGTCTCCAGAATCGCGCCCTGGGCTAAAGGCAGGCGCCAAACCGCTGCGCCACCCAGGGATCCCTCTAATTGTAGTTTTAATTTTCATGTCCCTCATGACTACTGCTCTTGAGCATTTTCTCATGTGTTTATTTGTCTATATGCCTTCTTTGGTGAAGTATTTGTTTAGATTGCCTGGTTTTTCATTAGGTTGTCTGTTTTCTTCTGAGTTTTAAGAGTTCTTTATATATTCTGGTTAACAATCCTTTATCAGATCTATGTTTTGCAAATATTTTCTCCCAGTTTGTCTTATTTTCATTTTCTTAACAGTATCTTTTGAAGAGAATTTTTTCCTTTGGATAAAGTTTGTCGATTTTGTTTTGTTTTGTTTTTATGATTTGTGCTTTTTGGGTCCCAGCCAAGAAATCTTGGCCTAACCCAAAGTCATAAAGGTTTTCTCCTGGAAGTTTTATAGTTTTCAAAAGATTTTACGTTTAGGTCTATGATCTGTTTGGAGTTAATTTTTCCTACATGGTCCAAGATATGGGTTGAGGTTCTTTTTTTGCATGTGGATTTCCAGTGAGCTGCATCTTGATAAAGCCAGGGAGAAAGACCATGATCATAACATGATGGATTGGTGGGCACTGCCAGGGGGACTGTGCAAAGGGCCAGGAAGCCCAGGTACTAGGCTCAGGCAGTTGCGTGGCTGGGAAGAATTCACTGTACTTTCAGGGGAAGAGAAATTCTGTATTAGGCCTTCTGGTAGCCATGGAACATCCAGTTGGAGATGTTCAGCAGATAGCTGAGTGCACCCCAGGGGCTGTAGCTCAGTGAGGATGGTTCATCCCCACCTGACCACAAGCCCCCCCAACACCCCGGAGATGCCAGTTCCTGTCTTCATGTGTAATGGTGCCTTTTACACCGCGCGGGGCCTGTGCATCCGTGATGGTGGACACAGTGGTACTGCCCCTAGAAAATAGGGTGTTAAAGGACTGAGCTTTATGACTTGTGGACATGGGGAGAATACCACAGAGCGGGGGCAAGGTGGTCAGAAAACATGGCACCTAACTAGTCTCTTCCCCATCTGCCTGCCCCGCCCTCTCCTCAGATGATGACAGAAGCCACATGGCTGGGAGGCAGAGGCAGGAAAGCAGCTCTCCTGCCTTTGCAAGCAGAGAAATAGGAGTTTGGGTATCCACCCAAGAGCCCCCAGATATGCCCTGGGGCTCCTGACTGCCTCCCCCACCCACAGTGCTCTGTGCTCTTCAGCACTAAATTCAGTGGAGATATGGGGTCTGGCCCACAGAACCACGGGGAAAGACAGCCCAGCCTCTCGGATGGCTGAGTCTGCTCTTTCCATTGGAGCTAAGCCACTTTGCAGAGCCTGGCCCTTAAGTCAAGGAGAGAGACTGACAACTAAAATAGCAAATTACTATCTAGAAAGAAAGGGAGATCCTGGAATAAGGAAGGGGGCAGCCCTGGCTCCTGGGTCCATCGCCTCCTGGGCCCTCTGGAGACCAAACTGACCAGACCCAGCCCCGAGCCAGAGCACCTCCCCCCAGCTGCAGGGTTCTGCACAGCCCCTCGCCCAACCCCTTTTGTTGGACTTCCCCACTGTCTAGCAGCCCATCTGCTCCAGGCTTCTGCTGCTGATTTTGCAACTTCATCACGGCTTGTTTCTCTTCAGGCACTCCAGATGGTTAATGCCTTTCTGCAATATCAAAATGCCCCATGAGATGGGGAAGGAATCATGAGGGGACTGCCTCCCCGCCCCTGACAATTGGGTGGGGCCGCTCCATCTACCAGCATGGCCTCCACCTTCTGGCAGGGGTCTCCATCCTCTGGAGTAAGGGGGCCTTGGTATAACTAGCCTCAGAAGGCAAGTGTGGTGAGGGTGAGAAGTGCTCTGGCCTGCTCGCCACACTTGCTGGATGACTTTGGGGGAAGTCCTGCCTGAGACTTCTGTTTTCCCATCTGAACAGTAAGCATGACAGGACTCATTCCTGACCCACTCCCATAGCTCTTGGCCCATCCCCCTCACCACTGCACCCTTACTACCTCATGTCTTGGTGTCCTCGCCAGCTGGGCTCTTCTCGTGAGCAGAACTGGAGCTAATTCTACCCTATGCCCCTCAGGCCCAGCATCAGGGAAGCATTGCCTAATCTGTTCCACAGGTGGGATCTTGGGAAAGTATCATGTGAGAAGCTGCAAGGGTACATCCCCTGCTTTCTAGAACCTTAAAGAGAAGTTAGACTCCAAGACTTCAGGTTGAAGGAGACTCGCCAGCCTTAGACACTAGAGGCTGCAAGGTGGCAGGGAAGAGGGGATTTGTTAAGAATCGGGTAAAGTTTCAGTTTGCACTGAAACTTAAGGTTTCAGAGGAGGCTGGGGTGTCTTCATGATGGGAAAGGGCAGGCCACCAGGAGCCAAGAGCATCTTCATAGCAGGGCAAGTTGTTAAAGGAGGATGAGATTCCAAGAAACGCTATCAGAGCCCAGAGGTCTGAGTGGCCCATTGTAAGCCTGGGAAATAGATGGAAATGGCACTACTCATATCCAGTCATTATGAATGCTTTGAGATAGAAAAATAATAAGACGTCATGGATACAGCAGCAGGGGTGCCAGGCTTGGAGACATAAGTCTCAGAACATTTCCTAGGTACTTAGAATGTACCAGTGTTTGGCTGGTAAGCATGTACATATTTTTGTTTCTCATATAAAGGGACCTGGGTTTGAATCATGGCACAGCCAGCCCTTCATCTCTCTGAGCATGGGGAATGAATCCTGGCAGTGTTCTTCATCTACATGATAGGAATGGATGGTAGTATTATCTATGTCAAAAGATGTATGTAAGCAGATTGTGTAAGAGCATCCATCCAGTCCAAGCACATTTTCTTTTGTTCCTTAGAACAGTGGTTCTCTGTCTTAACATTTTGAATCACCAAGGGTGCTTTTAAAAAATACCAGTTCTGGGGTATTAAAGACCACTTATAATGATCTCTGGAGGGTAAGACCCATACTTTGTTTTTTCTTTTTTCTTTTTTTTTTTTTTAATTTCCTAGTGAGCCTAATGTGCTTTAGGTGGTGTGGTTATTATCAACCATCCATTTGTTCATCAAGCATTCATTCATTTCAAGCTCTAGGACTGTAGGCTTGATCTATAATAAGCAGTTGAGAACTATGCGTACATAGATGTTATGGATGAATGCTTGTGTCTCCCTAAATTCTGTGTTGAAATCCTAATCTCCAGTGTGAAGGTATAAGGAGTTAGGACCTTTGGGAGGTGATTAGGCCATAGGAGTTGAACCCTCATGAACAGGATTAGTGCCTTTATAAAAGAGACTCCAGAGAGTTCTATTGCCCCTTCTGTTACAAGAGGACACAGAGAGAAGATGGTCATTACCAGACACCAAATCTGCCTACACCTTAATCTTGAGCTTTCCAGCCTCCAAAACTGTGAGAGATAAATACTTAAGCCAACTAGTCTATGGTATTCTTTTATACCAACCCCAACAGACTTAAGACAGCAGATATGGTTGGGTAATTTCTCACTTTTCTCCCTGTCTAGAACCACTTTCCAACACCCCAGCCTCCTGCCATGTCTGACCCCATCACACTGAATGTCGGGGGGAAGCTCTACACAACCTCACTGGCAACCTTGACCAGCTTCCCTGACTCCATGCTGGGTGCCATGTTCAGTGGGAAGATGCCCACCAAGAGGGACAGCCAGGGCAACTGCTTCATTGACCGCGATGGCAAAGTGTTCCGCTACATCCTCAACTTCCTGCGGACCTCCCACTTGGACCTGCCTGAGGACTTCCAAGAGATGGGCCTGCTCCGAAGAGAGGCTGACTTCTACCAGGTGCAGCCCTTGATTGAGGCACTGCAAGAGAAGGAGGTGGAGCTCTCCAAGGCCGAGAAGAATGCCATGCTCAACATCACCCTGAACCAGCGTGTGCAGACAGTCCACTTCACTGTGCGGGAGGCACCTCAGATCTATAGCCTCTCCTCCTCCAGCATGGAGGTCTTCAACGCCAACATCTTCAGTACCTCTTGCCTCTTCCTTAAGCTCCTTGGCTCCAAGCTCTTCTACTGCTCCAATGGCAATCTCTCCTCCATCACCAGCCACCTGCAGGACCCCAACCACCTGACTCTGGACTGGGTGGCCAATGTGGAGGGCCTGCCAGAGGAGGAGTACACCAAGCAGAACCTCAAGAGGCTCTGGGTGGTGCCAGCCAACAAGCAAATCAACAGCTTTCAGGTCTTCGTGGAAGAGGTGCTGAAAATTGCTCTGAGTGATGGCTTCTGCATTGATTCTTCTCACCCACATGCTGTGGATTTTATGAACAATAAGATTATTCGATTAATACGGTACAGGTAAAAGGACCCCAGCAACCCTGGTGGGGGGCTCCCAAGAAGCTCCACATCAGCCAAGATCTTGGAGAGTGTCTCACCAGTGGTGTGAGGCAGGGCGCTATACTAATCTGTATTAATCGCATAGCAGGACTTGATTAACCCCACAGTGCAGTCTACCTATAGGAATCCATGTGTCCTCTCAACAGAGCCACCTTTTTTCCTTGCCACTTTGAGCTAGAGATGGGCAGTTTGTCATGACAAATGAAGTATCTGCCAATGTGTCCTAAAGGCCACAGGAGGGCTTTCTGGCTACAGAGGAATGGCTGGTTCTTCATGGGTATCAGCTCTCTCTGTATCACTAGGCAGTGCCTCTCTCAGCCCTCTGTGAAAGGAGCCGCTCGTGGAAAGGAGGGGGTGAAAACAGGGAGCTCCCTTCAGTTCCCCAGGATAAAGTCACCAGATAGTCCCACTCCTCCTGCTCCTCTGTCCCTAGGATGCAGCCGGGACCTTGGACTTGTTCACCCAGCAGCAGCCATGTTTGGCTGGCTCAGAAATGCAGAAGGATTTCAGAGCTGCGTTCTTGACCAACCCACACTGTGGCAGGGACAGATTTGAACTGTGGCATGGCCCAGACGAGGGAACGTCCAGCCAGGGTTCAGAAAATGGGGATATCCCTCTTGACTGAGTCAAATGTAGTAGACATTTGGGGATTTCTCACTTCAGAGATGAGTTGTTGTCCCTACAAAGATTTTAAAGTATCTGGAGCCAGTGCAATGAAAGGCATTTCATGATGTGGACTGTTACATGATTTTTGTAATCCTTTTCCCAAGAATTTGAAGTATCATTGAAACAGGTCATTTTAAACAAATAATATTATGGACTCTCAGGGTTGGAAAAGAATCCAGTGGTCACTTAGTCCTCCCCAGCTCCCAGCACACCCCAACCCATGTGGGGCTGAGTGCCTCTCCCCAGGACCTTCAAAGTGATCATATATCCCTGCTTGCATACCTCCGGCAAAGGGAAGCTCATCATGCCCAAGGCAGTCCCTGCCATGACTGGCCAGGGCTGGCTGTTAAAAAGCTCTTCCTTCCATCGAACCAAAATCTGTCTTTCCACTCCCATTTTCTAGTCTTGGTTCTAGACCTGCCTTCTCACCCACACGTATACTTTCTCTTTCAAAATAGTCACCTTAAGAAGCCAGACACTTAATCCTGAACATATTACTACTTTGGAATTAGGTTCCCCACTAGCATTTGTCTTCGGAACCAAGGTCAGCCCATCCTCCACCCACACACCCCCTACACCCACCATCCATTGTAAGTCCCATTTTGTGATGGCTTTGCTTTTTGACCACAATTTCACCCATCTTCTCACCAGCCATGGCTCCGCATAGCTTTTGACCACTTCATGTTGGAGAATGAAGATTTGTCCTCCCAAGAAAGTGTTGCCAGAGGAAGGAGCCCAGGGGCTCCTAGGACAGGGTGCAGCAAGGAGTGGGCTGGACACTCTTAGAGTATCCTGTCCTACGACACTGCTCTGAAAGACACAGCCTTCCACTGTGGCACTGTTTCCTCCTTGAGGGAAGGTCTAGGGCAAGACATCCCAAGCCACCACTTCCCAGGAGGTGATGAACTGTGCAGGCCTCAGATCTGCACATTATGATTCATCCCTGGAGCATGGCCTTGGAAGTCCCACAATTTTCCCCATTGGGCAGAGACCCTCAGACAAAACCAGGGAAGCCTAGTGACATAGTCACCCACAGGAGATGGGATGAAGAAGGGGTGTCTTGTAGTTACAGCCTGGGGATAGGGAGCCGGTATGCTAGGCCGTGGGCAAAGGCTGCATCTGTTAGGTAATAAAGGCCTCTTCCTCCTACAAGGGGACCCAGGAGTCTCTGACAGCTGTCCCAGGCCACCAGGCCAATGGTACTCAAGAAAGTCACTCAGGGGAATCCAGATTAGAACAGGTTAGAACAGGTCGCAGAAGCTGTGACCACAACAGTTGATGGAAGAAGTCTTGTAAATCACTGCTACCTGTTTCTCCTCCATAAAAAGTCTTTTTCTCATCTTTTCGGTGCTTCTTAATTCACACAGCTTGATGTCAGAGAAAGTAAAGGACCTGTGAAATCACTAATGTGCTATGTGACTTTGTGCAAGTCACTCACCTCACTGAGCCACCTCCATTTCTGCATCTGTGAAATGGGCATAACAATAATACATAACCCTACCTACCTCACAGGGCTGTTGTGAGGATCAAATGAAATAACGTATATGAGAATCCAATATACATGATAAATGGTGTTGCTATTTTGTGTCTGCTTATAAGGGTAAAAAAAAAAAAAAAAAAACCCTGGCCTTGGAGTCAAGCTGACCTGAATCTGAATTCTGGCTCCTTTCCTCACTGTGTGACCTGGGATAGGTCACCAGGCCACTCTGAAATGTTTCCTCCTGGGGTAACAACCCCACCTCCCAGTGTTATGTGACTTAAATGAGCTGTGAAAAATTCCTAGCTAGGCCTGGCACATAGGAACCCCATAAATGCTTGTTCCTTCAGAAAGTAATCGTGATGCACTGCTGTGAGTACAGTCCAACAAGCCTATGTGGAGCACTTGGGGTGTGAGCCCCAAGGATGCAAACAGCCACAGTAAGTTCAATCTTGAAAGGCTCAGAGGACCACAAAATGTGCTGTGGGAACTTGGAGAAGACAAACTCAGTTTTTAGCAAGGGCTTGATGGACGGCCAAGTTGGGCCTTTAAGGGTAGATTGGGTTGTGACAGCTAAACAGGGTACCACTAGTACAGGACACAGCAGGAGCAGAGACCGGGGAGGTGGGCAGGAAGGGGGGGGGAGCCCTCACAGCTCCAGCGCCAGGGGAGCAACAGGTGGTGCACTGAGCACACTCACTCTGCGTCCTTCTCCAGTGAGTGCAGCCATCTGCCTGGCAAAACAGAGAGAGCATGGAGCGGTTCGGGAGCAGCATCCCAGAGGATGAGTGAGTTGGAGTGAGCAGGCACTGGGAGGTGGAGGTGTGCATCTTGTGAGCCCTTCCCTGCCCTGAAGAAGACCTAATGCTGATCAGTGAGCTCAACCAGACTCAGTTTAGCCTTTCGCACAGCTAAGAGCTTTGTCCCAACTGAAGGGCAATACCAGGCACATGTGAGTTTGTTGACTCTCTCTTCCTGCCCCAGGTGTGGTGCCACACATGCAGAGGGATGGTCAAGAAGGGTGCTGGACAGAAGCCTAAGGCACCTTGGTGTTACCACTTCCTGAGGCCAGTCACCACATAGGGCCCCTGCATGTTTGAAGGCCACCTCAGGCACTCCTTCCTGTGACCTTCCTGTGACCTCATAGCCTCAGAGTCATCTAAAGCCCTTTGCCCTCTTATGAAGGACAAGCCTTGAACCTTTCTGTTCTGCCTTCAGGCCAGAGCTCCCTGTGCAGAGGGAGCCATGGTATACTCCTGCCCTCCTCCCACCCCTGCCTGCATATATCCCAGCGCCCAACACAGCTTCACTGGCCAGGATGCAGTCACTCTGCTTCTTAAACAGATGTATGGTCTCAAACCTAGCACTTTTGTAACTGCCCCTTGGTTCACCCAAAACGTCGAGATTTCTTTTACAAATTACTCCTGAAACAGGCTACTATGACTGTGGCTGGGCCAAGGTCAGCCTGAGACCAGTTTCTCAGCTCACGTATCTAGATAACCAGCCCATCTGTCTACGGCCATACCACCCTGAACACGCCAGATCTCATCTGATAACCAGCGCATCCCTTTTCTGTGGTTTCTGCACTGACCCCTAAGTCTGCCTGGGCAGGGATGGGGGGTGGAGGGTGCAGGGCTGATGGGGGAGTGTTGGCAGAGAAAGGAGACCCTGTGATCTTCTTGCAGAGCAAAATAACCTTGATAACCAGCCCATCAAAGGGAAGAGCTGGGCTTTTTTTCCAGGTCCTGTGGGCTCCTGGATGACAGCTCCATCTGCCTAGACAGCCTAGTGACCTTAGTCTCCTTTAGAATCTTCAGGATAGCATGGCACCAAGCAAGGAACCATGGAGTCAGTCTGATGCCACGTGGGTTCACCCCTGTCTGGGGCATGGGACCAAGAGGGCCCTGAGGAGAGAAGTCAGCCTATGGAAGCCAGAGGTTCACTGAGCAAGCCACAGCACCCAGAACCCCATCCAATACAAAAGACAACAAAACAAGCCCTGTGGTGCCACTTTTGGCTTTGATTTCTGAGCAGGAAGTGCTTGTCTGACCCTCACTTACCCTGGTCCTATTTCCTACCAACTTCCTTGGCCCTCCCACCCCAATATACAAGGCATTTCAAAGCCTCTGTCAACATTTCCCAGTTAGCTGGCAGCCCTAGAGTGTTCTAGTCCATTCTCATGCCAGGTCCCTCCCCAGAGCCTAGGTTCCTTTTTACTGAGGTTTTGGGTAAAGGCCCAGTTGAGTCACATTGGAAATCCTCTAGAGATCCTGCCAGCTAAAGACAAAGGTTAATGTGTTGTGACATGGGTACTCCCTCCCCAGCCCCAATTAGTTCACTTTATAAGCCCAATATTGGTAATAAACACCTTTTGTTGGGTACCTCATAGGTTCCCAAGCTCCTTCACATCTATAATGTCCTTTCACAGAACTCAAAATATGCCATGCTGTTCCACACCTCTGCCTGAGCTGGCCTTTCCTGCTATCTTCATAGCAAACATCTGCTCATCCTTCGGTGCTCTGCATGAGCCTTGCCTCCTTGGCTCACTGCGCAGTTAGTCCCAACCCCCTTTGCCACCCTACAGCTGGTGAGGACTTTTGCCATCATACTGCAGCTGCTCAGAGTGCTGAGCTGCTCAGTGTGTGTCAACCAGCCCTCAGAGTAAAGCCCTGATTTATAGCGTTGGCCAATTTCCATGGTGCAAACACTCTCACTGTAGTCAATTTCAAGTTACCAAAGTGATGTCACTGGTCATTGGGAAAAAGATGCATGCAATGGGCTCTGGAGAGCCGGGGGAGCCTGCTGGAAAACAAGAATTGCATGCTTGTGAGGGCAGGAGCTCTGTCTTGCTACTTGTATCACCAGTGCCCAGCACACATAAGGTGCTCAATATATGTTTGAAGGACCTCCGCCACCTGCAAAAGAAGACATTCTCACCCCCATGATGTCCTCTTCTGGCTCAAAATCCCTCTTGCTCCAAAGTCCAGCTCAAACATTTTCCTATAGCATAAGTAAAAGTCCAAAGTTCCTAGCTCTTTACAGAGCAGCTTCAACCTACTTTAAGAGCATAGATTCTGCAGTCAGACTGCCTGGAGTCAAATCCTGACTTTGCCACTTCATGGCTATGTAACCTTGGGCAAGTTCCTTAACCTCTCCATTTTCTTGTCTCTAAAGTGGAGGTAATAATGCCCACATCATAGGGTTGTTACAAGGATTTAATGAGAAATATATCTATAGCTTTTTGAATAGTGCCTGGAGTTAGAGTAAATGCTATACATACTACATTACTTATTACTATTACCATTATCATCATCATCACTTTCTGTCCTCATTTTACTTCTGTCTTACCTGCCCACTCTCTCAGTGTCTCCTGCATAATCCACATGGATTTCCATCTCCTGACCTTTGCCCAAGCCACTCCCACTGCTTAGAGTGTCCCGCCCTCTCCTCTGCAGTGAACCCAAACGCTGCCCATCCCAGTGGACACCATTCTCACCCTCCGCCACCCTCCCACTGAGCCCTTCCTCTTCTGGTCTTCCGGTGCCCTTCTGGTTGGCATCTCCATGCGTCATCACGTGTTCTGTTTATTCATATACTCTGTTAAGCACCTACCACATTCCAAACCCAGGGCTAGGCTCTGGGAAATCAAAGATGAACCCAAAAATTCCTCTCTCAGGGAGTGCAGTGGGAGAGAGGTAAACAAATTCCAATATTGTGGGCAGTGCTAAGGCAGAGTGGACCACAAATGGGATGCCCAGCTTTAGCTACAACTCCCCAATGTATACACCACTTTACAGGGTACAAAGCACTTTGCTTCCTTTTCCTCAATCCTCACAGCACATTCTGAGAGGCAGCATAGGAGGGGTTTTTTTCAAAGATAAAACGTAAGTACAGAGAGAGGAAATGACTGTCCTGTGACCACACTGTGTGTAAGTACATGCCTGGCACATAGTAAGCCCTTGGCTATTGAATTAACTGTCATTAAATTCAAGTTAAGTGGCCAAGTGGAGGTGAGAACCCAGTCTGAATCCTCCTTCAGGATTATTTCTACTCAACTGTGAGGTCAAGAACAAAATTGGGTTTCCAAGTGGCAGGACTCTGATCCAGGCTTTTCCATCAATGTTCTAGGTGTCATTGGGCAAATCCTGTCACTGTCTTGGCCTGAAAGCTTTCTTGGCAAAATGCAGGAAGGTGAAGTTCAGCTCTACCAGCTAGCAATCTCTTCTAGCCAAAGCTGGATAGAAAAACGATCCTCCTAGCTCTCGAACTATATGAGCAGAGACCAGAAGTCCCTTGATGGGGCTGCCAAGGGGGCTTCAGGCACAGGACTGGCCCTACCTATCTTCTCCTAGCCTTTCATCCTGTGAACATGATACTTGGGTGATGGAGCAGTCCTGGGATTTTCATACTTCCCAATGTGAAACAATGGACTCTACTAAGTGCTGCTAGGGCTAAAACCACCAGGCAAATTGAAGTCACTCAAATGACATGTCACACTTACTGGCACTCCCATGAGTGAAGTCCGAAAGCTTTTGTGAGGGTGTGGCTCATTCCCCTGAAACCCCCACCTCCTTAGAAGAAGTTGGTTAGACAGGCTGAATGCCCATCATCACTCCTGAGTGGAGAGAAGGCCTCCCTTCCTGAGAGGACTATCAGAACATGATACCCATTGTTTATTTTTTGGCATAGAACCTGTGTTGTTCTAGAAGGAAACATAACTGGCCATGAAAGGCAAAGAGGAAAGAATGAGCCTTCAGTCAAGCAGACCAGTCCAAATCCTGGCTGTGACATGTGACCCTGGCCAGCACCATCCTCTCTCTGTCTGAGTGACTTCATCTACCAAGTGGTGATAAAAATATCTATAATACCTACCTGACGGAGTGATTATAAGGCTTAGTGGAAAAAAATGCATGGAATGTACCTGGCTCCCTCCTCTTTCCTTCCTCTCTGTACTCCTTGCTCTCCACAAACTCTCCTAAAGCAGGGACTACCTCTCACACCCCTATATTCTTAGCTTTCAGCAGACTACCCCCAAGGGGAGCACGTCAGTTTGTGTTTGTTGAATGAATGAGTGAACTCCA